TGTACAAACAACACAAAAACTTTAGCATTAGTATGAGGACTCAGACGTCTTTAGATTCTTTCAGAATAAGTATGTACCATTATGAGAAAATAGGAAAGCTGCCAAGCTTCTTGTAGATACAGTACACAGACACTTCTGTACTCTGTCAGCAGTGGCAGCCAGTGCTGGAGGGGGACCCAGAAAGGGGTACAAGAAGCATGCTGTAGGCTGCTGTGGAAAGTGCCTTTCTACTTTCAGCCCCTCAAGGTTAAGCGCTGTGCCCTGAGGTACCAAGAATTTTTAAATCTCACTGCTTGTTTGTTTCCTGCCACATGCAGCTTTCCTGCCTCTGAAAACAAAATGCTGGTCATTTGGGAGCTTCCTATTGCTTTCAGATAGCAAAGATAAAAGGCTGGGAAAAACAGTAAATCTCCTGAAGCATACCAAACAAAGATATTTACCTGTTCTATATCTGCTAAGATTTAAGTGACACCTACTCAGTGGTCATTTACATGCAGTTCTGTGTATACCAGTAAGAGGTACGCCAGAGGGGAAAAACCTCCTTGCAAACATCATAAATAAGAAATGAAACACTCCCCCAGACCTGGGTCTCCAGTGCACATATATTAATTACACACCAGAGGGTAAAGCCTCAGTATGTGCAAGCATTTAATTCATTATTTGCATTTATTAAAAACATTCCTTTTCACTTTAACAATATGGTAACCCAACAGTGAAATAACAGCAATTCAAATGTGGTCATTTACAGACATGCGGTTTCTTGTGCCCATTGTGCAGTGCAGTGCTGCCAAGTCTCACACCTTAGGAGTAAGCTGCTGCTCTCTCCTCTGTCACACACGTGCATGCACACACATACAAAATTTACATGTCTGCTCTCACCTATACTCTTTTGGGAAAACCCACAAATTTCATCAATCTCACTCTACAGATTTAAAAATCCTGGCAGCTTTTGAATAGCTTTTCTTCATCAGCTGCAATTAACTGTTGGAAAAGAAATCCAAAATACACAGAGAGAAACTTTCTCCTTAATAGGAAACGTTAGCAATAGTATGGGATTTCTAATATGTTCCAAAGTTTTGCCACGCCATCTTACTGGAAGGCCAAGTCTGCATGCCCTCTGATTAGTTTTCCTTAAACGCTGGGCAATTCAGTGTTGTCAGCCATAACATAAAACATTATTTATAACTATTTAACTGTTTTAAGAGTATAGTTAATAGCGTTCTGTAACGTGATCTTAAAGAAGTTGATTAAGTGTGCTTTACAACATGACCAGAAAGAGCTTCCGATTAGTGACATCAATATATATATTTTACATCTCACGTGGCCCATACTTTTAAAAGTTGGAAGTGCTGAAATAGGAGTCAAACCAAAATGAAATCAAATCATTAGAACTGAAGTGTTTCCTTACTACACTTCATCAATATCATCATGTCATGCCAATAGATTGAATATTCACAACATAAAGTACCCTTCTCTGTTAATAAACTCTAGAAATATATAAATTTTTCTGTCAGTCATATGAAGCAAAGGAGGGGAATTCAGGGCTGGTTCCAAAACTCATCATGGGTTTGGTTCAGGCTCTAATACAGAACATAAACAGAAAAATTGTTAGGCTCTGAATCTGAGTAAAAGTTCGCATATATCCAAGGTTAAACAGATGGGATAGGAACCCATTTATAAATTCAAGGCTCTAAATTACTAAAGGAGCTCACAGGTTTAGAAAGATAGTGTAGTTATGAAAATTGTTAATGTTTTCCAAACACCCAAGACTCTGTTCCCTGGGAGTCTGTAGTTGCTCTGCTCTTCCTTAGGCAATTGTAGTTAACTGCTTAGAGTTTTTATTCCTCATTCATCTCACGCCTGAAGAGGGACTAGTCTCATCCTGACAAAGTCTCAGTATGATTACAAAGCACGGGAGTTTTTATATCCGAGACTAAATGTCAAACTTCTTTGGAATCTAGTAATGTTCAAATGCAGTTACTGCATTCTCAACATTTTACTTTGTTTAATATTTCTATCAAAACCACAATTATGACTTGCCATAGTATCTTTGTCCTCATATTTACGCACTTCAGAAATTAACATCCTATGAAGAGGGTTCTGCCAGCTTTTTATTTCAAAATAAATACCCTGGTGAAATGTATTTGACATATATTCTTTGGGAATTGTACATATAGACACAAAAAGAGAGAGAAAAGAATTTTATTTTTCATCCTAAAGAAAAGAAGGCCTCAGGAAGACCCAACTGCTATCTACAACCAGCTAAGAGGGTCTAAAAAAGATAGAAGCAAACTCTCTTTAGAGGTGCACAGTAAAAGTATAAGAGGCAAGAGAAAACTGGAAGATGGGTAATTCTGATTTGATATAAAGAAACTTTTTTACAATTAGAGTTTTCAACCACTGAAAGAGGTCCTTTAGGTGACAGTGGAATGTCTCCATCCTTGGAGATGGGATGTGGCTGGGCAAGGCCCTGAGCAATGTGCTCCTTTGAGCTGCTCTGGTCATCCCCTCCAACCAACATGGCTTTGATTATATGAAAAAATAAAGTATCTTTTTAATGATACTTGACATTCACCATTTTGCTTCTTTTAAAAATGCCCCAATATTTGCTAAACTTTGATACTACATGCTTAGAGTACAATTCTGGTACACATGAAAAGTGTACCGTTTGTGGTAAAATACCAGCTTGAACAAAACTATTTTCCTGTTACTGAAATCAGTGGGGTTGGAAAGCTGAAAATCAAGCCAGAAGGAGATGAGATTATTGCCATCATACCCATAATAAGCTTTCCTAATTGAGTTTGTGTTAGCATTAGAGAATCTCACAAGACTAAAGATTTGTTACAAATGCTGATATCAAACATTTTTTTTGTTTGTTTTAAATATTTTGAGGAGAATGTAGGGAAAGATAGAAAAATAGTGTTTTGGGTTTTTTTCCTGCTCAAGAACAAGTTTTCTAAAAGATTTATATCACATGGATGAATTTCAGGAGATAGTAGCTGCCTAGAAAATCCAGACTTATTAAGGCACTCAACCATTAATTCTCAGAGCAAGTGCAAGTTTCACCAGTTCCAGTCACACTTTTCCCAATTCAAATCTTTGTTTGCACAAGCACAAGCATATTGATTGTTGATCCTGGGATCACAGTGCACGACTTGTCCATTTGGGTCAAGTCCTTCACTTCTCAAAGAGGCGATAACAAAATGAGAAAAGGGTCTGCACTGTCTTTCTGTAAAATATCTATAAACCGTAGAGGGATAAGATTGGCATCTAGACACAACATATGCATACATACATACATGAGAACACTTATTAAACCATTTATTTTAGTAAAAAAATATTAATTTTGAGTAATTGAAGAAATATTTTCATAATATGTATATATTATAACTAATATATATATGTGGTTGAGACACAGAGCTTAAAAATACATTTTCCTGAAAATTGTGGATATAAGTACTAGAAAAGGTAAGATTATTCTTGATGTATTTGTTCTAATATTTACACTGTACGTGACAACCAGCATATGTAGTTTGTTTTTTCCATGAGCGACAGAAATAATAACTCAATACTGAATTATGAGTAACCCATAACTACCTTTTTTGACTGAATGAACAATTTTTAAGTGAACAGGGAAATACCTCAAGCTTCAGTATGGGGGAGAAGTCTTTTTTTAAAAATCAGGAAACAGAGTTAGTTAGTTTGGTTTTTTTTACCAGGCACTTACTGTAAAAACTTCGTTAGCTGCCAAAGGAAATCTTTATTTCAAATTTCCCATCACATTCCCATAAACCTGCATTATAATGACTTTAAATGAAAGCAAAACTACTTAGTCTCACCAACACTGATATTCTCCAGCTAGTGACTGTAAACCCTGAGTTCTTCCAAAGTCCCAGCCCACACAAGAACAGTGTCTTGTGACTCTTAGACAGCCCTTTATCATGTCATACAGAGCAAAGAGCAGTGAAGAGAAAAAATGGGGGTCTGAGATAAGAAGAAATAGCTCTTCCTACCTCCTTAGAAATATTTATTGCTTTTCTGAACAACATACTGGTTTCATTTTCCACTACAAAAATTCATCTGGTTTTACAGGAGAGGTTGCTACACATACACTTCTTGTGTCTTCTAAAGTGGTCAGTTCGTACTACGCAGGTGTTACGAGTTTGTACAAGTTTGTTGTACAGTGAATAACCTCAATTACTTAAAAGAAGAGTTTCTATGCTCTGGCTTAGTTTCCTTTCTGTTAGGATTGACCCTGAAAAAGCTGGTGAAGCTGTCAAAAACCTAACTCGGTAATTCTAATAATTAATCCTATAATAGACTAATAATTCTAATAATAACACTGTGTCTCTCCACATAACTCATTTGTTGAAAATATACATGAAAACATGTAAGAAAAGGTAGCAACAAAAAGGTAAAGATGATCTTGAAGACAGTTTGTGATGGCAACCAACACTAGGTGCACTGGGACAAAATCTGTATACTGCATGGGTACTCATGGGTACTCATCACTGTTGGTTTTTATTCAGAACCGTGACTCTTGTAAATGGTCTATGAGCTGCTTTTGAATGAAAATCAAGTGGAGTCAGGGAAATAGTTGTGAGTGTAGTTAGAGGAGCCTTACTGATCAAACCTTTTAAATCTAGACTGTTTTAAAACTATCAGATGTAATAAAAGGTAAAATTAATCCTGTATAAACTTGTGGCAACTAAAGTGATTAAAGTGATGGAGTCACTGCCCCTGGAGGCGTTCAAGAAAAAACTCGACGTGGCACTTAGTCTAATTGGCAAGGTCAAAGGTTGGGCTCAATGCTCTCAAGAGGTCTTGTCCAACTTAAACGGTTCTGTGGTTCTGTGTTCTCTGAGTCGGTGTTATGTGTGATGTAATGCACTTTCATGGAGGTCTGCCAACGTAGCTAAGCAGAACCCCAATGTAAGTATTTGCGGTCGCTCTTATCTCACCCCTCCGTTGCCCTGGGAAGACCCGCAAAAGCTGGGAGATTAACAGCGGCCACTCACGAGGTGCGAGCACGCCCGTGTTTTGGAAGTGTGACGGAGGAGGAGGAGATGACTTAATCGGGGCATGTGAGTGCGACAGAGGTGATGTTGTAATCGTGGACATGCCGGGAGGGGACCGTGGGAGCGCTGTACGGAGGGAACAACAGCACGACCCCGCACCCCTGGGAACGCCGCCTTGCTCGGGCCATCTCCCCCCCTGAGGCCGTGTGCCTTAGGGAGCGGGGGACCGCCAGAGGGGTACACAGACAGAGCACCCTTCCGTCTCCAGCCGGATCCCCGCCAAGTCCCGCCCCGAGCGGGCAGGGACGGGCTGGAAGTGACGCGGGCGGGCGGGGCTGCGCGGCACTGATGGCGGAGGCCCCATGTTGATGTCCCCGGCGCCCTCCGCGTCTGTCTAGGTAAGGGCGCTCCGGGGCCGGGCTCGGGGGGACGGGCAGAGCTGACACGCTCTTTCTTCCCGGTCTCCTGGAGCCCCCGGAGCGGGCGGGGCCGTGAGGCCGCGGTTCTGCGCCAGCGGCCCCCGCCAGCTGTGCGGGCCGGCCGCGGTCGGGAGGGGAGCGGCGGGGCCGGGCTGCGGGAGGCGGCGGGGCTCCCCTTCCCCGGGGGAAAGGCGGAGGCACGAAACAAAGGTGACCGAGGCGAGCAGGTGGGGACACCTCGGCCGCTGACATAGCAGCGGCGGGGAAGGGGCGGGAGGCGGCTGGGGCAGGTCGGGGCCGGGGGTGTCAGGTGCCCGGGACTGCGGCCGGAGGGCTCCCGGGGAGGCTGACTGGGGCGGTGCGGCTCGTCCTGCTTTTGCTCTTCTTGCCCGACGAGCTTTTCCTCTTTTTCGCCGTCCTTTTCGCTACGCAAAACCAAACGCGTCGCTCAGCCTCTCCGTGGGAAGCGCTTGTCATATGGGTAATGAAGCCAGTGCGTAGCTCTCCCTCCTTCTCCTCCTCCTCTCCTGTTTCCTAACCGGTAGCAGTGAGTTAAGCAGGCAGGCAAGCATGCAGCATCGCCCTAAACTATCCTTGAACTGTAAGTAGATCTCAGCATCACCTAAGCTCCGGGGATTTTCCTGCTAGGCAACAGTAATCCCAGATGACTGTGCTGGCCTGCATAAGTTCAGATTTGTGAACAGTTCTGCTTTGGGCTTAGAAACCAACCTCTCTTTACTGGTTCCACTAAAGAACTTCCACAGGTTTCGGTACTGCTCAGCTGTGGCGGCTGGCAACTGGTGTGCCGAAATTAATTTTTTTGTTTGTTTCTCTTCTTATTGTATGCTTAGGCTAAACTATATAGTCTTAAAAATAGACTTATTAAAAAAATCAGTAGTTTTTGTTATTAATGCTTTGCTAACCGTTTTTGTACTTATTCTGGCTAGTGAAAACTGAAGCACTATTTCATGTCAGTGTTATTTGGCTTATTTACTGAATTACTAAAAATTAATTGTTAGACTTGAAAATAAGTAAGGTTGTTCTGCTTCTTTTAGAACTGTAGAAACTGCTGCTGCATACTGTCTATAGTTGAGTGGATTTGAGAGCTGTCTTAAATATAATACTCTGTTTTGAGATGTGTGGGAGTTTTCAGGGTTTTTTGCTTCTCTCTTCTGTATTCTGAAGCTACCAACTGATAGGATTTATGTGTACCCTATTTTCTCTAGCAAACTGTCTTTTGATGTCTACTCAGTTTCTTGCTTGTGTGAGTTCTTGTTTTTCCTTTGTTCATCTTCACAAGCTTGGCATTTTATCTTATAACCTTTGTTCAGTGTACAGAATTGCTTTTTATTTAACATCTGATACATTGAAATAATGTTATGGCTGCCTATGTGTACTTAATGTGTACTTAATTGGGCAGTAATAAGGTTAAATATTGAGAGCTTAGAACTGAAAACCCCCTCTATTTACTTTACTTTTTCCTTATTTTTAATGATGAATACTGTTTACACCAGAGTGCATTTTATTTCAGAAAACACAGTGTCTTTGCTGCTTACTTTTCAACCAGTGAAATTTTAAAAGACTATAGGAAATGTACAAACAGCTTTTAATCTTTTAACTACTTGAGACTTGCAGTGTCCTATCCATTTTTGGCTTTGTTTTCCACATGTATTTTCAATGAAAGTAATATGGCACACACTTGGCAATTACTTCTTTCAAAATGTGAATTTGCTTGGTCAGTATAAAATTACTTTTAACAGCAATTGCAATAGGATGGCTGATCTTTCTAGAAATGTTAGATATATAAGGCCCAAATCCTCCTAATATGAAATGTTTTGACAGAATTGTGATTGTACGTGGAAATCAGATACTTGAAACTTCTCAGTTGCCCATATTCTATTTTTGGCAGATATTGCCATATCTGAGGAAAGGGTGTTCTTGTTCTGCTTGTGAAGCATCTTGTGTTGCTGTAATTTCTAGCACTATGTATCCTGAATGAGGTGGTGAATGAAAAGCATGATTAAAAGCTTTTGCAGTCCCAACTGATTAGTGTTAATCCGTCAAACTGCACGCATACCTCAGTGTTCCTGCTGCCAATGCAGTCCATTGTTTATGGAAATGAATCCGAACCTGTGGAGCTGAGAGCATATGTATTACAGTGAGAACAGTAAAAGATGCTCATGGGCTGCTGAACAGTGGCAGGAGAAGTCTTTTGAAGAAGAAGTAGGGAAAAACAAACAAACCTGACCTGTTTAGATAAACTTTCTTGTCTTTAAAAAAGGTCTTAAAATGGAACCTTGATCCTTCTGAGAGGGGAAAATAAACTTCACATATAAAAATATTGTGAAAAGCACTGAGCACTATGGATTCTGAGAAAAATTTAAAGCAGGAAAACTATGGAAGTTTTGTTTCTCCTTCTCTACCATATCTAGAACCATTAAGAATCTTTTATTGAGTTAGAACCCTGCTTTGTTTTCCCACCACTACTTTTATTTTCCACTTTCTGCCACTGTATCTGAGATAGAACACTTGGGGCATTCAGCTAAGCACTGGTTTCTCTCCATCTTGGTGTCATTGCTGAAATGACTGCTCTTTTATTCTGAGAGGTGATTGTTTTGGAGTGATGCTGAGTCAGTGCACTTCGGTGAATTTAGTCTATAGCTATCTGTTTTTGGAACAGGGGAACCAATTGTTAGGTTTTTCTGTCTCATGTATTTCAACTAGATTAACTATTTTTCCTCTTTGTTAAAGTAGCAACTTCTACAATTTTGTTACAGATCAATCATGTCATCCTTTCAAGAAGTTCCATCTTCAACTAGCACTTTGCAGACTTCCAATTTTGCACACGTGATTTTTCAAAATGTGGCGAAAAGTTATCTTCCAAACACACATCTTGAATGTCACTACACTCTAACCCAGTTTATACATCCTCATCAAAAAGACTGGGTTGGCATTTTCAAGGTAAGTGAAGCTTGTTCTATTGCTATTTTTCATATGTTTGCTCGCTGTCTTACTGGTTGAAAAAAAAATCCTCACAACATAAAAGCTCTCTCATAAACTCCTAAGTTGAACGTCACTTAAGTGGTGTGTTGATTCCTGCTGTTTGAATGTAAGTTTTGTAACAAAGAACAAACCGGAGCTCAAAACTGGACTCAAAATGAATATGCTTAAGTCAGCTGGGGTAAAGGGAAGGTGTGATGTGGTGCTGGTGTGCAGAATTAAATGGAGATGAGTTGAGAAGAGGTGTGTGCTCACTGAGTGACACTGTGAACATGACTAGGTGAAGAATATGAGACAGAGTTAGTGTGACATGTTTGTGGAAAGAAAGAAAACTAAGCTGGAGATATCCTGATTCACATCCCTGACTAATTGTTGTTGCTAGAACAGGCTGAACATTATTGATCACTAAAAATGTTCAAAACAGACTCTTAAAAAAGGAGGAGGTTTGAGGCCACCCCTCCAAAGGTATTTGGAGATATTTTTAAAGGTTAGTAAAGCTTCATTAGAAGAATGGGATTAAAAATTCATTAATTCTTGTATCTACTTCTGTCTAGGACCTTGATCTGTGTTTATTTGTCAGTATAGCTCCTAATAGATGATGTTTAAATTCTTTATTTGTATGGTTAATAGAAGTTTTGATTCATGCTTTAAAGAAGTGATGCTTTGGCAGTGGGGAGAGCATAAAGGTGACAGACTAGTTTGGTACTGGAGAACCTTTCCTGTAGAACTGTGTCCACTATTTAAGAATGTAAATGCTTGACTTCATTGTAATCTGCAGATTATCAGTGCATTGTTAGTCTTTATTCAAGATAAATTATTCCTCTGCAACATAAAAGTGCTGCACCCTATAACAAAGCAGAAGCATTTTTAATGCTTTGTGCAGTGACTACAGTCACGAGGTTGTGTGAGGGAGGCATAAATTTCCAAGCAGGCACATTTCTCTAGTGGGAAGACCTTAAAAATATGTGTATATGTATCTTGATTATTTGCAAATTTTTGCAATTAGTGTAACTGAGCACACTTGAGTATTTAGTAAATGGCACTAATGAAACTTCAAAAACAATCTGTATCAAAACTTTAGAGAGTGCTGTTCATATTACACTTAAGCATCTTGAAATTATTTAAATGTAACTTTAGAAGTGCATATAGTGACTTTTGTCTTTTGGTCTAAGTGAGGGAGGCAGTCAGACAGGACTCTAAAATTATGAAGTAAGAAAAAATTAAAAAGAAGCATGAAACAGTTTTTTGGTGACTACATCAAATGCTGTTTACAATGTACAGCTATCTGATTTCATCTTGACTGTGATGATAGCTTTCATGAACTGTTGAGGTATGATTTTTTTTTCTACTTTAACAGTGGTAGGTAATACAGGTTTGGCTGTCATTTGAGGAACATTTTGAACTGGCATAACGTATTACTACTGCTGACAGAAACATCTTTTAGGCAGGGTGTCTTATTTCCTGTGCTTCCTCTCCTTTACGTGAAACGAGTTCTTGTGTAATGAATCAAATCAGGGAATTGATTGAGGTAAAGACCAACGTTTTGTGACTAGTTTTTTTTAAGAGGAATTCCCCAACTGAATTTTCAGTTCACCTACTTCTCATCAGCACAAGGGAAGGAAGCATTGCGACATGGGAGAAGAATAAAAATAGCTTTCTTTTTGTGACTGTCAGCTTATACAATGTGTTATGGATATACTGACTTAGTATAGTTACAATACAGGGAGTTAAGTGGAGCCAGCTGTCTGACTATCTGTTTCTACAATTATGTATGTGTAATGTTTACAGTAAAATAAACTGTGAAAGTGTAGTTGTCTTGGGACAGATAATAGTCAGAAGTTGTACTAGACTGTGATCTGAGTGTAAAAATGAATGACTTGTAGAGAACTGGTTGTTCATGGACAAATAACAAACCACCTGGAGGTGGCTTGAAACCTGATGAAATCAGGCAGGGGTTTTATAATTTACTTCTCCAAAACACATGAAGGATGAGAAGCATGTTTAGTGAAGTGATTCTGTGATTGAAAAAAGAAGGCAAAAGCAAATCTTGACCAATTATGAGAACAAAAATTAGTGACCTTCAGTATTGGCCTAGTATACAAGGAAAGTGGGGCTTCTGTGAGAGAGCTCAAAATGTAGATTCACAGACTGTTCAGGTAGAGGGAATAAAGTTCACCTTGTCTTTTTGAAGTGCATAAATTACTTAGAAAAGAAACCTGTTTAAGCTGGTGTTGTCTAACCTTTACCTGAAATTGCGCTGAAAATAACTAGTGTAGTAATAGTGAATACTAGACAGAGGGAAAAGGCACCAAGTTTAAAATAAACAGTAAAATCCCCTCCACAAACAGTGGTGATTTCAGATTGGTATAGAAAACAAGTATGGAATAAGGTTCTCCCTGCCCCCTGTGAACCTTGTGTTGTTTTTGGTTCTGATGTTGATTTTTGTTGAAGGGGACAGCTTCAACTGTATTTTGTCCTGTTAGATGGATAAGAATTTTTTTATTCAACTGAAAAAAATCTCTAGGTACTTTTTTAGTGAATGGTTTTCATTTGCAAGTGCAAGTACATTGCTTCAGCAATGATCGCTTCATTGGTTATTTATATCCTTATATTATTGTCCCTGTTTTGCGAGTCCAGCTGTTAGCGCAGCTGCACAATGAAATGGATCAGCAGAGTGATCTGCCAGGAAAATACAGCCCCTCCTCCATCAGCTTTTACCATCTTATTTCGAAATTGGTTTGGTTCTTTAGTTTGATTGCTGTGTGATGCAATGGGCAACTGTGCTGGCATCACTCTGATGGAAGCAAGGGGACTGGGAAGGTGTTTGGTAGACAGGCTACAGCTACTTTATTGGCATGGCTGCATCATGTAGAGTGACAATTTAAGCTGCTTTTTCAAACATTTTAGAATTCTCTTCTGAAGAGCAGCTTTTAAGGTGCAAAACTTAACAGATTCTACCAACTTTCCTGCATATGCTGTGAATAGAATGTGATTTTTTTGTTGTTGTTGTTCCCGACTTAAGGTGCTAAATGTTGAATTTCAGCAATGCTGAGCATAAGGCATTTTGTGGTGGTGGTCATGGGTTTAAAACTGTTCCCAAGGAAGTGTTCATAAACTGGAAGACTAATGTTGCATATAGGAGAATTATTTCAGATATACCCATTTCCTTACAAACTAGATGTATCTAAATGAATACACTAATTTTGGGATTGGACATCTGGCAAAAGCTTGGAGATGTGGGAAGTTTTGAATATTCAGCTTTTACTATTTTTGTAGATATTCATCCTTCTTTTTCTTACTTGTCCCCTATGGGAGGGGAGTCAAAACCAGGTTTTGACTCAGTTTTCAAATCTTTTGTCTTTCATTGCACCTGTGTTTTTTTTTTGCTTTTATGATGTTCTGGAGAGTCATCTGTAATCAAATGCAAGATCTTGATCAGTCATGTCCTTGATTGTTACCAAGGGGAAAAAAAAAAAGGTGTTTTTTCAGAGGTCTATTTCAGAGGTTTAATACTTGGCATGCACATCCTGAACCCGAGTCCCTGCTCATGCAGGGAGAAATAGAATTTGAGATCAGCTTTCCTTCCACTGAGGGCTTCTGTGCAGAAAAATCTGGTGGTTCCCAGTGTGGAGTCAAAGCTGAGACGACTTACCATTCTCAATTGATTTCATAGGAGATACGTACTCCCAGAGTGATCCATCTTTGTCTCTGCTCATATCTGATTAATTAAAATCTGGACAGGTCTTGAGAGTAATCCAAATCTAAACCTTTCAAAAGAGGAAAAATAACTAATGTGTACACTACATCTGGCTACAAAAGTGGTCTGTCTGTAGGTAGTCCTAATTTCCGGCTAGGGAACTCCACATAGTGTGATATATTTCACAATAAAGTGAATAATCATATGGCTGAGTGATATTTTTTGCATTATTAATGCATAATGTCCAGATTTGCAGAAGTGTTTGGAAAACCTGCTTGGTTGTTAGGAAGCAGTGCTTACCTCTCTGTCTAGAGCATGTGTCTGCAAATAGGGCTGTCTGATGTTCAGTATACAAGAGAGGCAGGTTTTCTGTACATCTCAAAGGCACAAGGAAAGAATTCTATGGGCACTATAAAGATATTGCATCAAAGGTGTAGGTGTTTGTGGAGTT